CCTGCTCCCGTGGAGAGCACACCAGCGCCAGTCGCGAGTTGGAGTGATTGGACAAGCACGGTCGAGACTTCTTATGTCCCTGCTCCCGTTGAGAGCACTCCGTCTCCTGTCGAGACCTGGCCGGATTGGAGCAGTACCGTTGCAACGCCCTACGTCCCTGTCGAGACGAGCAGCAGCGTCTGGTACAGCAGCGTTGCTCCCGCTAGCTACACCGCACCTCCAGTTGCCACCTATACAGGTGCTGCCAGCAGCAACGGCAAGCCTGCTATGGCCATGGTCGCCGGCATTGTCGGTTTGGTCGCCCTCGCCTAAATCAATGCATGGGACTACTTCCTCCCCGAGCTGTGACATGCTCTGGGTGGATCAGAACAACACAAAATCCAAACCTACTATTCTTACAACGTCGATTACGCGCCTCGATGCGACCTGTCATGTCGCAACGAGGCGATTGCTGGACGACGGTTGTCTATATTGCCAGAACCGACTTGTATTAACAGCCTCGGGCGTGGGACCAGTACACTGACCCGAGGACAATCGTACCTACGCACAATCTTTCCGACCCGAAATAAAAACGACACGCTCCTTACGACCAAAAAACGATACGCTCCTTACGACCAACGGTCCATGACATCATGTATGTATGCATGGTGGTGCCCTGAATGAAATGGACAAAGATGCATAGTAGTGTGGTAGGCATAATAGCGGGCGAGTTGACTTGGAGCGTCTAGGCTTTGGACGCGGCAAACTGCATAGCTGCTGGGAATGAAAAGGCGGACGAGGATAAGCCAGAGGTTAATAGTGAATAAGGGATGTACTTAGGTATATCACGCGTGGCTAACTGATGGACAGCTGCATCAATTCAAGTCAAGTCTAATCGCGTGATTCACTTTCTCTTCGTGTTGCTGTTTCTCCTTCTGAACGTGTTCGAGCAGTATTTCTGCCTGGTTCAGTCTGTGGTACTGCTAAGTTGGCCGAATGACGAAAATGAAGCTGGCATTTGCTCAGTCGATATACATGTTAACCAAGAATTCGAATGCAAGGTGATTGTGATTGTGAAGATGGAGATCACCAAGGATATCACATTACAATTTCTGCTTCACAATTTTCTTGCCTGCCCCACGTAGCGCATTTTCGCCGTCAACCAACACACACCAGCCCTCTCCTCCCGCCGTTCCATCCTCAAACCCTCCAATCGCAGACTCGAAATTCTCCTTGGCATACTTCAAATCCTCATCCTCGAAGCTGCCTGGCTGAAACCACACGGCTTTGACGCCGGCAGCTTTTGCTTCACGAAGCGTCCGTCTTGTAATCACCGGTGGTGTGACGAATGACAATGCTGTCTGGTCCGGGTGAGGAAGTGCTGAGACCGACGGCACGGTGTCGTATGTCTTCGAAGGCAGAGATATTGATGGCCGCGTCGGGTTGATGGGCGTCACGGGCAGCGTGTGTTGATGATACCATGCGAGTAGTCGATAGCCGAATTTACTCTTGTCTTGACTCGCCCCAGTCACGGCAAAATAAGGCAAGGAGAAGAACCTCTTCGCAGCGGTTTCCATGGCGCTCAGTGCAGACTTTGACAGCGGTATTGCGTGTCGCTGCCGACATGAAGCATTCTAATATTCCCTGACAAGAAAGCACGTCAGAGGGTGATGCCATCGAGCCATATTCATTCGGCCAGTCATACGAGGAGAACGGGCTACACGGGCTTGGTATGTATTTGCTAGCTCGATCTGGCTAGGAGACTTTCGATAAGCTCGATAAGGCAGACTCCGACTCGGCGCCTCGTTATGGCTGGTGAAGGTGGTGGTGTGGCTGAACTGTGGCTCTCTGTGGCTTCACCGTGGCTTGTGAGCCTCAGGCCGCCTGTCGACACGGGGGAACAGAGGTTCCGGCGGGCATGAACCAATCGAACAGGCGGGTCAGGAACGCCCACCGAGGGTCACTAGGCTCCGGGCGCGGGCTGCTGCGGGCTGCCCGCTGGAATTGAACAAAAGTGAGTCTCTTACGAATTGGTCAAAACGACTGCTTTCCTCCCGGACAGCAGCTTCTGCTGCCTCAGTCATGCTCGACTGGTACCGTCGCACGATCTCGCCATCGTCTTGCCACCTGTGAGACGCCGCCTCGCCACCGCTGCCCACGATTCGACCGGACGACCAGTCCTCCCACAAGCATGGCTGAATTGGCTCTCCGCGGTCGGGATCAGCCTGATATCCGAGCGAGGATCAGCATCCACGATGACGAGTCTCCGAAGGATATGAAAGAACTCCAACTTGCAGATCAAACACAGAGAGCTTTGCGTTCGAAGCATTCCTGGACTCCCCCCGAAGCAGTCGGGGCATTGCATAGAGCCGCTTTGCGCAAGGCCAGGACGCTTCCTTATCCTTATCGACCGAGCCACTTCAGCGACATCCCCGCCTCGGACGCACTGCCCTGCCCGATCATTCGATCAAACAGCTTGAATTCCCTGTCGACAATACAACGAGAAACCGAAGCCGCGTCCTTGAGTCTCTACAGAGGGTCCCCGATTTCTGCGATTAGTCCTTCCTATGCTGCCCCGTCCTGGACAGTCAGTATCGACGAAGAGCTCCAAGACCCGTGTCCGCCCCGACTCCCGCTGCGCGTAGAGACTCTCAGCCAGCAGCGCAAAGTTCAGAAGCGGCTGAAGAAGTCGTTGAAAAAACAAGAGAAGGAGCAGGCCAAGGCTCAAAAGGAAGAAGAGCAACTACGTCGAGCATTCCTGGCCGCTGATGTCGCCGCTGCACGAAGGAAAGATGCGGCAGCCCGGGGAGAGTCACTTCCTCTACGCACAAAGAGCACCAGGAGCATTGCCTCACAGGTTGTCAAGAGCTTGAGCTTCAAGTCCCAGCTGAGCAAACTGAGTCGCCACGTCAGACGGGACAAGGCCGAACCGCCAACTCTGGATGACTTTGACAGCAAGTCGGCCATCCGAGAGTATCTCAATCCCTCGCCGCCGCCCCCACCAGCATCCCTATCTCCTCCGTCAGCGGGGATAGCGGAGCTGCCTGCCGAGCTTCCCCAGTACACGCCCTTCCAAGACTCCACAAGGACCCAAGACAATGAACCTGTTGCGCTTCTGGCAGACGCGTATCCGGCAAAAGAAAAGGATCTTGTTGCGTCGCCTGTTACGGAAAATAACCCGGATGCCACTAGTTCTCAGCCAAAAGCGAAGTCGATGAGATGCGACTCGTGCCAGAGCCCGATCCGCTTGAGCCAAGTGTACTACCACTGTTCGATCTGTGACGATGGAGACAGAATACTTTGCTCTTCATGTGATCAGGCTGGCTGGAGCTGTCGGCACGACCTGACGGAGAAGGTGCGCAGTGTATCTCGCCCTGACGCTGGGGAGAAGACAACTGCATCCGACGTGATCAGAAAACCCAGCCGGTCAGAAGCCGAGCAATATGCTGCAGCTATGTGGGGATTGAAGATGCCAGGTGTCTCTGCCCGTTCAAGTCGGTGGACCGAGTCGCCCATGGAAGCCACGATATCGGCAGCAAGCCCCTGGGCCTTCAATGACATTGTTGAGCAGAACAAGGTACAGGCGGCTGAAACAAGGGACATGTCCACTCAGCAGCCTTCGGAGGACGCCAGAGAGCTGGACTATCGCCGGCGCGAATTGGAGATGGAGTTCCGCGACAGACAGATCGCCGTGCGGGAGAAAGAGACCGCCTTACGGGAGCAACAAGCCTCATTCAGAGAGCAAGAGGCCGCACTCCACGTCAAACAGCAGATGTTCTCACTGCAGCTGGAAACCGCAATCGCAAGACAGATGACCGAACTGTCTACTGGCGTGGGGACACAGTTTGAGAATCTCTCGCAGGTACGTACTCATCTTCGACCCCTTCTCACCTCCGTCCGGTGCTTTGGTGCCGCATAAAATTGGACACTGTGCTGACGATGGCTTGCAGCATGATGGAATTCGGACGCATGCCACCAAGCGCAAGGCCGGGGCTGGGCAAGCCATGGTCTCACCCGCTAATTCCACAAGTTCAGATCAGAAGCAGTCGCCAAAGCGTACCCCAAGCCGTGGCCAAGATGCAGAGGAGGATGATGATGAAGATGCGCCCGGTGGCACGCCCAAAAAGATCAAGCAAGAATCAGATGCCCTTCAGACTCCCGAGAAGCTCTTCGCCTGCCCGTTCTGCAAGTTCGACAAATCAAAGTACTCCGAGCAGAACGTGCAGGAGAAACAGTATCGTGGATGTTCGAGCGGATACTGGCCAGACATCTCGCGCCTGAAGCAACATCTTTACCGAGTCCACTGGCGACGCATTCATTGCACCCGCTGTTATGCTCGCTTCGAGCGCAAGGATCAACTAGACCAGCACCGCAGGGCCGCAAGCTCCTGCGCTTTGGTCGATTGTCCATATCCAGAGAAGTTCGATGAGGCGCAATACAACGAGATTCGCCGTAAGCGACCAGCAAGCACCCCTGAACAGGTCTGGTACACTATCTACGGAATCTTGTTCCCCGACCTGCCGCGTCCGGCAAGTCCTTATGCAGATAATGTGGATATGCCGTTCGCCGTCAGCCCTGGCCCGACAGATACACGAGACACGATGGACGTGCTAGGAGAAGTATTCGAATCTCGTCTGGACCGTCTCACCAACGCACCGGGCCAAGGTTGGCTCCAGTCCGCCGAAGCAAGGCAACTCATCCGAGAGCAGTTGAGGGCGTCCATGACGGACGTCCTCCACAGGCTGAGGCCTGCGAACAGTCCTTCTTTGGGAAACCCTTCTGGGGATGTCTCACCGATTTCAGCTGGGGCACCAGAGTCGGCACGGCGCAGCTCTATATGTCTCACGACACCAGCGTCTTCAATTCCACCCTCTCCTGTTCATGGCCCGGGTTCAGCCAATAGAACTGGGTCGGATATGCATTTCCTTTCACCGGGACATCGCCAGAGTTTTAGCAGACCTTTCTCGGCCAGAACTGTGCCACAGCTTTCTACGCCACAACCACCTCAGAAGATCGGGTTTGGGGACGAGCTGACATCTGCGGTGACATTCCCCGTACCTATGATCATTGACCCTGAGAATGACAGATATGACGAGGAGTGCAGCAGTTGGAGCCATGGGGACGAGCGAGGTCTTGCTATATCGACCGATTCGATGCCAGCGGATTTCAACTTCGACTTTGCAGCGGCATTCGAGGATCTACACAGAACGGAGATGGGGTCGGCATCAGCTGCTATGCCCGAATTCACTCCAGTCAAACTTGCTAGTCTCGACGACCCGGCGGCTCAACCGTCTAAGGGCTCCAGTGCTCTGAAGCCCAAGCACTCGACCACGTCATCTGTCGATTCCGGCTACGGCAGCCTCGGCCATGCATCGTCTTCAGCCTCAGCTTCCACCTCAGTGTCATCATCATCGGTGACAGGTTCTTGTCCGAAGACGGCTCAACACGGCAAGAACAAGGGCAAGCGGAAGGCGGCGCAAGCAGCAAGAGAACCAACTCCTGTGCCAGAGTCGGCAATCAATTACGATGCTTTGGAGGTTCCCTTTCAGGATTTTTCGGGCGTCAATCTGGACTTGGACTTGGAGGAGCACCTCGGGCAGTATGGCGTCGATTTTGGACATTTCAGCGGTGGTGGCAATGTGAATGTAAATACGGGTGCAGCCAATGTTTCGGCGTACTTGGACAGGAGGTATCCCCGCGTCGTCCAAGAGGCGGGAGGAGGGAGGTAGTGTTTCTGTAATCCCCGAGCTCTCCATTACTTGATGGAGGGATTGTACCGCGAAACCTGTTGAATAAAACACATGGCATTGAGCAAGACGGACTGGTCAATCGCTTTTTATTGACGCATAGAGTTGTCCGTTGTACCAAGAACGAGATACTGTCGTATTCAGACGCCTGTCTTTGATTGGACTGCCCCTACAGCCTGGCCAGCCCGGAGTTCGGGAGAAGACACATCCATCTCAACAACGGAGGTATACGAGCACCGGATAAGCATTCTGGATAAATGAGACTCGTAACTGGAACTGCTGTAATCAGGGCCGCCGAATCTTCGTGGGTGTTGCGTCGGACTTCGACTCCGCCTGATTTACAGCGAGATGATGTTTCGTTGTGGCTGACATCATAGGGAATACATCATGACCACCCCAGTCTTCAGTGAGATGAAAGAGAATTATTCCTTCCGGCAGACTACTCAGAACATATTCATAATCGCTTCATCTCTCTAGCACTTATAGTTTTAATCTTCCTTTCAGTCCTACTGAAACGTTCCCTTTGACTGTAAATCATTCCCAAGCATGGCCGAATCAGTGATCCCACTGAAATGCACGTGCAACAACTATCCCTGGGGCAAGAAGGGCAAGGAGTCATTGGCAGCGCGCCTTTGCTCCAGGACAAACCCGGATTTCCAGATTGACGACTCGAAGGAGTATTCGGAAATGTGGTTCGGGACATACCCCGAACTCCCCTCCTACTCCCTCAAAACGGGCCAAGACTTGCAGCAGATCCTGAACGAGCACAAAGACGCTCTGATCGGCAAGAAGGTCTGCGACAAGTTCGGTGCCGACCTACCGTTTCTGCCCAAGATTCTGTCCATCGCAAAGGCCCTTCCCCTGCAGATCCATCCAGACAAACGCCTCTCAGAGAAACTACACAAGGAAGACCCCGACAAATTTTCAGATCCGAACCACAAGCCCGAGATCGCTGTTGCGTTGTCCAAATTCGAGGCATTTGTCGGCTTCAAACCCCACGCCGAGGTCCAGGAACTGATGCAGCTGGAGGCGTTGGCGCGGTTCTTGCCCACCCGGGCGGATGGGGTCGACGTGAGTGACGACGAGCTACTGCGGCAGATCACCACCAATATGCTCAAGGCGGACGAGGAGACGGTTGAGTCGACGATGAAGGAACTGCAGGCCACGTCCAAGGGCGAGCTGGGGAGACACGCGTATATCCTCGATCTGGCACCTAGATTGCAGGACCAGTACGGCGTCACGGACAATGGCAACCTCGTCGCACTGGTGTGCATGAATTACCTTGTCCTTGACGCCGGTGCAGCGATCTACATTCCCGCCGATGGTATTCACGCGTACCTCTCCGGCGACATTGTCGAGTGCATGGCACGGTCCAACAACGTAATCAACACGGGATTTTGTCCGCGGGCGGACCGCGACTCGGTCGACTTGTTCGCCAGGTCGTTGACATTCAAGCAGCACGATCCGAACGAACCGATCCTGGACAGGAGACGGAGCGAGAAGAGCGGGAATGGCAAGACCGTCGAGTTTAACCCGCCGATGAGTGAGTTCAACATGCTCGTTACGGAGCTGTCCGGTGGGGAGCGAGAGAAGAACAAGCCGATCGACGGCCCGAGTACCTTGATTGTGACGAGCGGAAGTGGGAAGTTAAATGCCGGCGGCCAGGAGTATGATCTCCAGGAGGGGAGTATTTTCTTCGTGGGCCAGGGGGTCGAAGTCGACTATTCTGCGGGCGACAAGCTGGCTGTGTACCGAGCGTATGCTGAGTGAGAGCCTGTTCACGCCCACGCATACTTTGTTACGGTGTACCTTGGGCGGGTATACCGGTGCATCTGAATTGGGTGTCCGTAGAATTGTCCGGTCCGGAAAAGACACAACTTAGAAGCCCGTGTGGCCCGTTTACAATCCGTCCATTGTAACTCGTACCGAGTACGTTCTCCGGCCCCTGCCCTTGCGCCTTCTAACCAGATCAGTTCATGGTGTTCATGCGTCTTGGTGACTCATTTCTTAGTCAGCCCCTGCAGCGGACGGCTCAACGCCGGTGCTGATTCTGGTGGTGCGTTCGTCTCTCCCACTTACCGGACGGAGTAGGCATCATTGATGTTCCACACCACACCCATACGCAAGTCACCGAGACATCCGGCGTTTTCGCGTGCATGATCTCTACACAATTGGGACATCGCGCGGTGCTTGTTTCGTACCCTGCCAATGCTGCGATAACACCTGGCTCGCGATGGAGCCCAGCGCGAAGTCGAGCCCGCCCCAAAGCAAGCCGGCCAAGACATTTTCTTGCGTCCGGTGCTTTGAGCGGAAGGTCAAATGCAATAGGGAGAATCCGTGTAATGGATGCCTACGCGCGAAGGTCGAATGGCAAGTTCTTCCTGTTGTGGATGAATCATCATCCTTCCACTTCTTTGGACTTTATGCTTTGGCATTTGGAGCAGTCGCTTGCGATAACCATATCGTCACACCAACTTGTCTGGCTTGTATCCCTTGCGCGCATGGAGAAATCACCTATTGACATGATGGTTCCCTAAATGCAGCATCTTTCGCATCCCAGCGCCGCCTCGACGGCGGAAAAGGAAAAGTACAGAAGAAACGATCCAGGCCCGCCTCAGACACTATGAAATTCTCCTGCGCGAGCAGGGCATCGACCCAGCTTCTCCAACGCATGCTCCTAGTAAGACCGAGACGACTTCCACCCCGGAAGACGGTGATCAGTGTGATACAGTGGTCTCCAAACCCAAGGAACCGGTCAATTGGGCACCGGGTTCCGCGGAAGGAAAGTTGATTGTCGACCAGGGGAGATCTCGCTTCATCGAAAAGTAAGCACCCTAGACGTCGTGGGTTGGTGTTCTCCAGCTGAATCCGCGCAGCAAGTTATGGGTGACTGTCAGCGAAGAGGTGTGTGGTCTCGCCGCCTGCCAAATTGATCGCGCAATGAATTGTCACTGATCTGGATTCCGCAGCTCCATCACAGCAAAGATGCAATCCCCGACAGCGAGACAGAGGATGAGCTGGAGACGCCGGCCGAAGATGGCGCCGACTTCGTGCTGGGAATGACCTCCTCGCCGAACCAGACGGTCAACTTGCACCCCAGCACCGACCATATTCTGAGGTTATGGCAGCTCTTCCTCACTAACGTCAACCCACTAGTGAAGATCATCCATCAGCCCAGCATGCAGCGCGTCATCGAGGACGCGACGAGTGACCTAGGACACATCCCCCGGGGGCTTGAAGCGCTCATGTTCTCTATCTATGCTGCCGCTATCCATTCCATGCGGGATGGTGAGTGTCTAGCAACGTTTGGCGAAGCTCGGTCAACTTTACAATCTAGATATCGTCTGGGTGTGCGGCGCTCATTGACAAGAGCTCATTTCATGGGTTCCTCGGACATTCTTGTCCTGCAAGCATTGGTGATATATCTCGTGAGTCGATGTCAAACCCTTCGCCGTTCACAACTGATCCGACGCAGCTCGCCGTGCGGCAAGAACTCGACGCCCGGACATTGTGGACATTGGCCGGTGTCTCCAGCCGCATGGCCCAAGGAATGGGCGTCCATCGCGATGGTGCTGTCCTTGGCCTCCCGCCTTTTGAGACGGAGATGCGCCGCCGCTTATGGTGGCAAATCAACCTGCTGGACTTCAAGGCCGCCGAGCTGAGCGGCTTCGGCGGCTTCAACTCGATGCGCTGGTGGAACACAAAGACGCCCTCGAACGTTAACGACGCAGACATGTGGCCCGGCATGCAGGAACCTCCTGTCGAGCATGTCCGGCCCACAGAGATGGTCATCTGCCTGCTGCATTACGAGATGGGCGGGTTCTGGAGGAAGAAGCTGACCCAAGCCGGGATCGCCGAGGAAGATCTGTCCCGAGCCATGACCCACTGGGTGACGACCAAGACGGTGGCCGAAAAAGACGTCTTTGTCGACGAATTCCAGGCCAATCTCGAAGAGAGAATCCTGCGATATTGCGACCCGTCTGTCCCGCTGGAGATGATGGCCCTGATCATCGGCCGCATGATGTGTAAGAGCGTTCGATTCATGGCGCACCATCCCCGCCGCTATGTCAGCGAGAAGGACATCCCGGAGAGTGAGCGCCACTTTCTCTGGGCGACGAGCATGGCGATCATCGAAGGCGATAACCTCGCACACTCGCACCGCTCGCTGCAGCGCTTCCAATGGCACATCGACCACGGCTTTCAATGGCATGCCTTTATCTATGTGCTGGGCGAACTGGCGGCCCGCCCGGTCGGGGAGGGGAAGGACGAATCATGGGCCCAGATCGAGGACGTCCACAAGAATCATCCCAAGTAAGTCAGGCAACGCACGTGGCTTTCATTGTATCATACCTCGAGCGAACTGACTTGCGCGCGTGTGACAGCTTCATTTCCGACCGTCGAAAACCGCTCCATCTCGCCATCGGGAACCTGTGTCTCAAGGCGTGGCGTGCGCGCGAGAAAGCCCAGGCCGAAAGTCCCTCCGGCGGGACTTTGGCGAGGCTGAACCCTCCGCAGTTCATCATCCAGCTGCGGAAGCAGTGGGAAGCCAAGGCCATGAATTCCACCAAGTTGTCACAGCCAGGACCGTCCCAGTTCAATCTTGTCCCTCAGGCCAAGGACATGAAGCTGAATGAGGCGCCCAACCAGTCACAGCCACGATCGCAATCGCAATCGCAATCGCGGCCGCAATCAGAATCGCAATCACAATCGCCACTGCAGTCACATGCCGCGCAGCAACAACAACAGCAGCAGCAGCAGAGCCTGGCTACCTCACACCAGCAGCAACCGCATCTCACCAACTCGGGCTCCGCCGCGTTCACAGGCACAAGCACGGGCTCCACGTTCCCCACCACGACATATTCGCCCAATGACTTCTCCGTCATGGATGACCTGGCCATGGACATGGACTGGCAACGATGGGACACGCTGCTCAACGACTTTGAGATGCCCGTCCCCGCGGCCGGGCAGCCGTCGGCCGAGGCGATGAACCCGGCGCAATTGCAGTTCCTAGGCCAGTATGGGCAGCAGGGGTACTCGTGGCCTTTGCCTGCTTACCGGGCGCAGTGAGCCAGTGGGCAGTGAGCCAGTGGGCAGTGAGCCAGTGGGCAGTGGCAAGCAGGGAATGGATTAGATTCGGTCAAAGAGTCTCAAGGACCTCCTGGTCTATGCTGATCGAGCCGTATTGTGGTGGTACTGTAGGCTGGCCGTTTGGTGTGAGCAGGGATCAATCAGATGAGATCAGAATAATCAGACAAGCGCTGTCTGTGAGTGAGCGAGCGAGCGGCGTCGATGTCGATGTCGATTTCGATGTGTCGAATCTCTCTCACTCGCACCTAGTGTTCGACGCGTCCAGGGACCTATCTACCTGCTCTACTCCGTCCTCTTCCCTTGTAGAACATAAAATATACAATACGGAATTGACGATGTTCCTCTCTGCGCTGTATGTGCTCTGGGCGTCTGGAATGCTTAGATTCTGTAACAAATGGCCCAGCTAGGTCAAAATAATTATGCTACAGGCTATGCACTCCCATTCTGAGCTGTGCTCGCCGTCTAACCGAGACGTCTATCCGTGCATTCCATTCCGCTGCTCATTGCCCATCGCTGCGCTCAACTTACCTTTTACTGGCTTTTGATGATTTTGTTGACTAGTCTGGTCTTCGCCAACGGCTGCGTGTTCCCTAATCGCTGATATCTCCTTCCGTGCTTGAAGACCGAGCCTCCGCATACACGGATATGTGCATGCACACACAGCTTAAGGGATAAGGAATAAGTAATACACACGTGTATATGCGTGCATGCGCGGCGTGTGCAGGTTCACAAAAAATCCCTGGGCCAGCGGCGCCCGTGTCGATCACGCTGCTCGTAGACTCCCTGCGGCGACCATGGCATGTCCGTTGAAGAATATGGCGTCAGAGGGAGGTCGTAGGGGAGACGGAGCCCGACGATGGTATTATTCGACGAGGGGACTGTAGCTGTCGCTGAAGGCTCGTCTTTGCCGAACAGAGGGACCATTCGCACCGTGTCTTGACGCTCTTGCCGTTTCGATGTTCCCGTCGAGATCACGATCGCGGTCTGCCTTTCCGTACCTAACTCGGTCTCCCCCATCTTTTCCCTTTCCCTTTCCGCCTCGACTTCTCCTGTGTCAAAGTCCTTGGCGAATAGTTCCGGCCATACAAGGACACCGATCTCGTAGCTTTGCACGACGACCTCTCTCTCCTTGTGCTTCTCCCTCTGTTTACCCTTGGCCACCTCGCGTAAGGTCCCCCACGCCTGTTGACTGAGGTTGGCGCTCGTCAGCAACGCCCATTGGATGTCTGGCGTGGGTGATTCTTTGGTCGGCTTGGAGGAGAAGCACACGAACGTCTTGATGTGGGGTGCAGCTTCCGCTCTTCCCGCTCGGAGGGCTTCATTCGGGCCTTGCGTCCACTGACATAGCGACTTGCGTAGGCTGGCGATCTGCTTCAGATGAGCCGCCGACTGGGCTTTCATGTGGATCGAGCCACCGGATGCATAGCCGTTGAGGGAGGACGCGACGTTGCGAGGAGTTGGGTAGATGATTGAAACGCGCGAAGGATCCCATTGGCGTTGTTCTTGTTCTCGTTGTCGTTGTTGCGAAGAGTCCGACGCCAGCGGACCGTGGAGAACGGGGAAGAACTGATTCAGCCAGGCTGGAGGGAGCGTAGCGATTGAGGAAATCTGACACACGACATGGGAAGGTGAGGTCTCTTGTTGCTGCCGAGGGAGGATGGAGCTCAAGGCTCGAAACAAGCTCGGGTAGCCCCATAGCTTCTGATCCCACAGCTGCTTTGTATCGCTTATGGTTGGGAAGTCTTTCATGTGCGAAGGGACTGACGCAATCAGGGCACCTCTGACGCTGCCGAAGTCAAATAGTGCCAATTGATCCCTCAGCGCCTTTGTTTTCGAGCCATACGCTGCCAAGTATGCCTGGAGGTCGTGCTTGAACCGTGAGCCAGACCCGATCTTGCCGACAACGGTACCAGCATGAGTTTTCATGAGTGGCAGCATAGGAGATATCCAGGCCGCTTGGGTCAGATTCGTCCAGTCCTGCGCGAGCATGTTGGCCGTGTGGATTACAACCCGGGCGAGATCATCGTGGGTGAACAGAATGATCATCTTGCTATGATGGGTGCCGAATTGGTCGGGCAAGTAAGCTGTCGTCGCTGTGACGTTCTCCCATCTCCGGCATGCGTCGTCAATGGCCTGCTTGGCCGGGCTGTCGTTCTTCCACGAGCCGTGAATGACCTTCACCTTGACTTGATTGCGGACGTCGCTGTCGAAGAAATTCATGAACCAGTCGATGTCGAAACAGTAATTGAAGACCCACGCCTCTTTGATCAGCGGATTGCCCAGGATGTCATCGATGGAGACTGTGTCGATGTTCTGCGACGATGGCAGGTCACGGATCTTGGTGAGCTTGAACGGCGATGCTATGAGGTTGACTTGCGGGGGCAACTCAGTGTCCTCCAATACTCTGTCCGCGGATACATGCTTCGAACTGGTGAGAGTGAAAGCACGGGTTTTCAGATCATGACTCTTAGCGGCGGCGGCAGTCTTTGAAGTAGCAGTGGTGGTCTGGATCAATTGAGGCGTCGTCGTTCCCGATCTAGCGGTTGCTGGTGGCGAGATGGATCTAGAGATTGAGCTGAGGAAGGCTGCTCTTCTGGCACGAACGGACGCAGAGTCGGCGTCCTCGAGTGCTACGCCACCATCGGGCTCGGAATCGGAAGCGAGCTTGACTCTCTTCGAAGGTCTTGAGTCCATCGTAAGTCGCCGCGCATAAGGCCTGAATAAGGCTATAAAGCAGAAGTGAGGAGAGAGAGAAGTGCGAGTCAGTTGAAGACCTGATGCGGTTGAACGACACGTAAACATCGAAGACCCACTCGTGATACTCTACAAATGTTGGTCTACATCGTCCTGGTTAGCCTCAATCGAGAGCATTGCGATGGTGGCGATCACGAATACAATGACTGTCCTCCGGCATAACCTCGACAAGGCAGTGCTACGCCGCCCACGGTATGGAGATATATTCATGGGAAGGTTATCCGAGGGCTCCAATAGCACTGCCAAGGGCGTCATAGGCTCATATGCATAGGCCGCCTGGTTAGTACGAAGTATGAGGACTATGAAGGGAGAGAAGTGGGAGACTGTAGAGAGTGTCGAGGGTGTGATCGAAAGTTGGGCCTGTTCGGAGTAAGTCAAGAGGACCCATACGGAGTACAAGGCTTTTGTTGATATCCCGTGGCGCCGTGATTCTTTATGCCCGGCTCTCTCATGTCCAACGCCGCGGCTTGCAATGTCGCTGCTCGGGCTGCCGCTGTGGCTTGGTTCGCGTTTCTCCGCAACCGAATCTCGATTTCAAGCTCGACCGGCCTCCGCCTCGTCTTGTGTGCTTTGTCTTCGCAGATGCATCCAAACGCATCCATCACCTTCTCTCCTAAGGCTGACTTGCCACAATTCCCGAGCATCCACCATTGAGCGCGCGGTTACTCCTTGCAATCGACTCGAGGTGGAGTTGGAATAGCAATGATTTCCAGCTCTCCGTCCTGCATGATCGTAGTTGCATTTATTGTCCCTTTAGCCTTCATTTTCCCAGTCGCCTCAGCTGCGGTCACATGAAGCGCGCCTGCTCCCACTGACTCTCTCTCTCTCTCTCGTGACAACATTTCCATCATACCACGTCGGCGTCTTCGCCCTGTGCCCGTCGACAGATTGATCGCCGAACAGATACACAATAATGTCGCAGCCCGCGTCCTTCAAGGATCTCGGAAACGAGCACTTCAAAGCCGGGAAGTTCAAAGAGGCAGAGCAACTCTATACACAGGCGTGAGCCTTACCAATCTCATGTACCTGAATCAGTACTAATCGTGCCAAACAGTATTGCTGAACACTCCCGCTCCGATCCCAAAGTCTTTGGCAACCGCGCACTCACACGCATCAAGCTGTCAGACTGGCCTGGCGCCGAATCTGACGCCCGTAAGGCAATCGAGCTCTATGGACCCGGGAACAAGACGAATCTCGTAATGAAAGCACATTTCTACTTGGCGCAGGCCCTACTACCGCAGCGACACGTAGGGGAAGCGCTGGATGAAGCCAAAATCGCGTACACAATGTGCATAGAGATACAGGATCCTTCGGCGGACCTGATCGGGACTTTCATACTGAAAGCCAAGCAGGCGAAGTGGCAGGCCAAAGAAACAGCCAGGTTAAGAGAACTCAATGAGACGCTGGCGCTGGTAGAGGATCTCCTGGACGCTCAGCTACAGCGGGATATAGATGCCGTTGAAGAGAGGTTCAGGAATGGGGAAATTGGCGAGACTGGGCGGAGAGAGGAGGTTGAGGAATTGCGAAATGAGGCTGAGGTCAGAAGAGCGAATATCAGACGAGGCTTCGAGGACAGCAAGAGACCTGAGACAGTGGAGAGGGTACGTCAAATTCCTGCCGTTGTCTTGTCTCATTCATGACCGCTGACGCTCCATGACAGGTGGTCCCGGACTGGCTGATCGACCCTATCACATTCGAAGTCATGCACGACCCTATAGTAACACCGACAGGCGTTTCATACGAGCGTGCGTCGCTGTTAAAGCACATCAAAGCAAATGGATGCGATCCGCTCACGAGGCAACCTCTCCGAGCGGACCAGCTGATTCCCAATGTCGCATTGAAGAATGCTTGCTCGGAGTTTTTGGATAAGAATGGGTGGGCCGCGGATTGGTAGGCCCACGCTGCTTGAGATTCCTCGAATGACTCCAAAGTACCAGCTCTCGCCACCTCGCGAGCCCTTGACTCAGCCAGAACAAGAAGACATGTTGCCCCTTGCGATGGTTAGCCATGTATGGACAATGGAAGTCCTGGGGATTTTGAGTGGCACCAATGGCCCACCAGGCCACGAAACAGTACCTACACAGTCCTTTTAGCAGGCGATGCATTTCTAGTGCTTGCGAGAAACCGATACCTATTCACAAGGCGTTCTGACGACGAGCATTAATCCTGGGCCAACCGAAATGTCTGAAGCTACTCAACGCTAGCTCTTCCATGCCTTTGTCACGATCTGTTACAGCTACAGCGGCCTGCCGGGTTACGGCTTCTTTAGGTGGGGAGTATAGAAGTGATGCATACGTTCAGACCAGACAAGAGTTCTCCTCAATACTATTGGTAGATTTGGGATCTAATGTTTCCGGCACGCTTGTTTCTCATCGACTCCCGGTCATAGAGGCGTTTTTCTTCTAATGCCCTCTGGTGTACGATCTTCTTAGTTCAGGTATTGCAAGCTGAAAGCTGCTTCCTTGAAAAGCTCCATTTAAATCAGGCGGAGAGGGACCCCCCGTGACCCCACTCGACGCTCGCTCGGCCAACTTCCTGCCCCGCCAAACGGTCTGACGTCGTTTGGTTGGGACCCGAAGACGTAGTGAGAAGACAGTCCGCGTTTGTTGACGTCTGGCCCGTATGCTGCATCCAAATCTTCATCTATCTTGACATTGACTCCGTCTTCGTCTGGAATTGAGCGAGCATTGATCCTGAGTCTGTCTTCTACGTGATACACATAGCAGTCTTCGACATCACAGAGCCAAGTGAGTAAAGACCCCGCATTTACACCCACCCTCTTGTCCCAACCGTGCCGCAACCATTCAGAGGATCTCTCGAGAATTTCTAACAGCTTGTTACACCATTGTCTCTGTTGTTACTTCCCCTCCACCACCTTGTCCCCGTTTCAGCGCGTCTCATTGTTGTTGCTCGACGGCTGACATCCCGCGATCAAGGAGTCTGAGCAACGATTGATCGAATCTCATTCCGACTCGACCGATTCTCACATCCAGTCCGACTCTGCGGTGAGCCCCCTACCTACCCGATGGCGGTATCGTCGTTCTAATAGAGGCAAAGAACAAGGAGTCAAGAATATCAAAACTGAACGATAGCCGACATGCCCTCTGCAGCGTTCCAAAAAGCCGCGGACGAGAGCCGTCAACTCAAGGCCAAGCCGAGCAATGATGAATTGTTGGAGGTGAGTCAGGGTGCATTTCATTTCCAATTCACGGCACGCCTTCGATATGGCGGGTATGGGGGTATACTCGCGGGGTGGGATGCGCGAGGAACAGCGGCTGAGGGCGATCTATATGGTGGAATTGTGGTGGGCAAAGATAAGGGATAGAAACCGTGACATGCGCGCTGCATGCTGGAATGGAATCCATGGAAAGGAAACCGCCGCAGGGAGCAAACAGGTGGATGGTTTCTCGCCGTTTGCTGTCTCACCTCACTCTGGGACAAAGCTCTTGAGGCAACCGGCCACCCTCTTTGAGCATACTTGAGAGTCGTGCCAACCCCTCCTACACGCTTCCCCCTTAATTTTGAGGTGTCAGTGACTAATATTCTCCGTTCAGCTTTACGCCCTCTTCAAAGTGGCTAATGGCGAGGACATCTCAAAGGCTCCTGCTCCAGGCATGTTCGACTTGAAGGTATGTGATATCGAGTTTCTTTATCCTTGCACGAGCGCACATCAGCTCCTTTTGTCATGATTTCAACGTTTGTGTCTCGCTCGCCACCCAGCAGCTGTCACTGACCTCGACCTTGGTGAACAGGGGAAAGCCAAGCACAAGGCCTGGCAGAAGGAAGTCGATGCAGGTACCAGCGCCGCCGACGCAGAGAAGAAGTACATCGACCTTGTCGAGAAGCTCAAGAGCCAGTATGGCTTCGACCCCAGCAAGGCTCCCGAGGCAGTTGGTGGTAATTGAATGTGCCTGAAAAGTCCGAGTGACGCATGTCGTGGCTGAAAGAGTTCAATTCTCCCCAAGCATTTCGGTGTAGTCTTCATTATAGCACTGTAAGCACCTTCGGTGCTCATGCTCGCACGACAGAGTCGTGGTAAAAGGCTGTCGATAGCGATGTCAGGCCGACAAGGTTCTTTCTCAGGGAGAACATGTGCACCATTCTTTCATCACAGTGGTTCTTTCACAGGTTCAGACCGCCCAGCTCGTTGACCTCTTCATCCTCGTCGTCATCTTCATCTGATTCATCTGAATCCTCCGTGATATCCTGCCCTGCAAATACCATCCATTGTCCATTGAGCACGCTTTTCCTCCAGAGTTTTGTGACACCATCGCTTCCCTGACTTAATAGTACTTGACCCTGGCCGTCGAAAGTGACGGACCATGCGTCGGTATGGGCTTGGGGAAGGGTCGTAAAGGAAGAGAGAGTGGTAAGGTATCCAAAGTCGTGGATTGTGCGTGAACCGCCGGCCTGGCTGGACATTTGGGTCGACGATGCTTGAGTTTGGCGCCCAGTAATGGCAGAAGTGAGGCTCGACTGCTGTTGTTGGCGTTGCTGCACGGTATTTCGCGCCTGAGCCGCTGATTGATGCCGCTCCGTTCCATTTCGTCCTCCATTCCCGCTGTCGTTGTTATTCCCATTCGCATTTTGCCCTTCTGCAACGCCGAGCTCGAAGACTCGCACGCCCCCGTCTTTGCATGCTGTGGCAATGCGATCGGTCCCTCTGACGCTGAACGGCGCCCAAGCCACATCTCTTACCAACGCCGGATGAACAGGCAGATTGATCGCTTCATAGAACATGATCCTATGGCTCGCCCCGCCAGTACTCGACACGCCGCTCCCGCCCCCGATCCCCAGGCCTATCCCACCGATACTGCCATCCCCGGCGCCGCCGCCGCCGCCGCCGGTCCCGGTTCCCGTGGCCGAAGGCACCATGCCGCGGAAGATCTTGACCTCATTGAGCGCGCACACGACCAGGCCGAGCTGGTCGCGCTCATCGTTCACGGACATCATATACGGCAGTGGAGTTGGATTCGGGTCGAACTGGACTTTGAAGCTCGTTTCATCGCCGCGCGATGGAACCGCGTTGGGTGTGCAGACATTGAAGGTGTCAAGAAGCGTCCACTCGCGGAGGTCGTCGGGATTGCTCGGCTCGTAGATGCTGAGCAGGCCGAGACGGTCGATCAGGGCGAGAAAGGTGGTAATGTGGTCGGTCGTCAAGGTCTTGACATCTAGCGAGACGAATGGAACACGTGGTGTCGATTGGATGGTTGCCACGCGCCGGAAGCGGTGGCCTTGGAGGGGTGGCTGGGTTGCGTCTTCGCTCCACAGGTGGCATTTGAGGTCATTGCCGGTGGTGACGAGGTGGGTGCCTAGGGTGGGGGAGAGGAATTTGGCCTGTGAGATAGTTAGAGGAGCGGTTGAACTGGCGAGGACACGGAAACGCTGTGTGAGCAGCACCGAATCCCTAAGTTCAAGAACAAGAACAAGAACGTGGCATAATCTGGACGTTCTGATCCGGCTGATCGTAGTGTGCGTTGGAGAGCCAGAGCTCGCTGGCGATAAAAGACGGTGCAAGCCATATTGATAGAAACGCACATTAGGATGACCAGTCGGGACTTACGTCTTTGATATCGGCGTCGTGCGCTGTGAACGTGTCAACCAGCGTCGTCTCACCGGTCTTGGAGTCTCGCTTCCAGACCTTGATGCGGTGGTCGATAGACCCTGTCAAGATCTTGGTGCCGTTGAAATTGGAGTGGATGACGGTCACCCGGTCGTTGTGACCAGTGTCAAAAGGCTTGGTTGCCGCCATTGCGGCCTCATCTAGCTGGCGGCGGCGAGGGAGGGGAGCAGGCAAGGGAGTGGTGGTGTTGGAGGCCGGAGATTTCAAGGAGGAGGAAGCTGATTCGGACGAGCTGCTTGACTCGTTGTCATCCTGGCTGGCTCTGTTATCAAGCCAGTGGGCAAGACAAACATGCTCCAGCACAAACGGAACACGGACCACTGCTTGTCGTTGTGAACGGCGTTGTTGAGCCATCATCGCTGATTGGCGGATTTGCGGAGATGGGTACACGGGGACGGATTATCTTTGTTCCGTGTGTAGAAATTAAATACGATGCAGAAGGACAGATTGTCAACGGGGAGCTCTGCTGCAACAATGACCATGCACAAGACCGCACTGCTGCCGACCTGCCTGACATCCGCAGCGCTGCGGACGACATCATGGCGTCGACTCTCAACCGTACGGAGAGATGGTCACTCCTGCTCGTCACAGGAGGCTCGCTGGCAGTGCTAGCAAATACATTCCAGGGCGACGGCGCGCCATTGGTGGCCTCCCTGGCTTTTTCCACCCTGGCATTCTCTATGACCTATGCTTTTGTACGATGGTCAGGTCCAGCTTTTGTGAAAGCCGGTCTGAAAGGCAAGGACATGAGCAAGATCCCGGCAAAAGAGATGTAGGTCCCATCTCACTCCGAAGCAGAGCCTTGGCTGATCTGTCTAGTCCTGAATCCATGGGAGCAGTCGCTGCGGCGGTCTACATCCTGGCATTGATGGCATTCATTCCCTTTGCATTCTACAAGGACATTGTGGCGGCTACTTCGGGCGGAGGAAATCGAGATGTCGTGGTGACCATCACTGAGGTCGAGACGGGCCGCTTCTTGCACCGGTTCCCACACTCGAAATTATCCTCATATCAATCGGCACTCAACACTCTGCAAGCCACCACCATCCTCGGGATATGCGACGACATTCTCGATCTCCGGTGGAGACACAAATTCTTCATTCCAGCAGTGGCCTCACTCCCGCTCCTCATCGTCTACTACGTCGATTTCGGAGTGACGTCGGTCGTGGTGCCTACTTTCCTGGTGCCGTACATGCCGAATCAAGCGCGCCTCATCAACTTGTCGTTCCTATACTATTTGTACATGTCAGCTCTCTCCATCTTTGCCCCGAACTCGATCAATATTCTCGCCGGCATCAACGGCATCGAAGTCGGACAGTCACTCGTCCTTGCAGGCCTTCTCATCCTCAATTCGGCGCTTTATTTGGTTCCTTTTCCTGGAAACCCGGTCCTGAACCACGCCTATGCCATACGTCCTCATCCGGCTACTGACGCACATCTCATGACGCTGTACATTCTCTTGCCATTCCTGGCTGTATCAACAGCACTGTATATCCATAACCGGTATCCGGCCAAAGTATTCGTCGGGGACACCTTCTGCTACGTCGCGGGCATGACTTTTGCAGTCGTGGCTATCACAGCCCATTTCAGCAAAACTCTGCTCTTGCTCCTCATTCCTCAAATCGTCAACTTCATCTACAGCGTACCACAGCTCTTTCACATCATTCCATGTCCCCGGCATCGACTGCCCAAATTCAATGCGAGGACGGGTCTGCTTGAACCTAGTGTGACGCCCTGGTCTGCAGAAAGACCTCCGAGTAAGTTTTTGACTGCAGTTTTCTTCACCTTGGAGAAGCTTCGTCTTATCCAAGTCACTGTGGATCCAAAGACGAATCGAATATCAGCCACCTCGAATCTTACCATCATCAATCTGTGGCTGGTATGGAGGGGCCCGATGAGAGAGGATCAGTTGACGAAGGAGCTGCTTGTGATGCAGACGTGTTGCGGCCTTGTCGGATTGTTCGTCAGACATACGATGGCTCGGCTCATCTTTAGCGTAGATAATCGGGGATCGCTCAGCCAAGGGGAGCTCGGGATGACACAGACACAGCTCAAAGCCACCTAGTCAGTACTCAAGGAAGTCCGAAAGGGTCTTTGGGTCTAGAATCAGAAATAGTCAGTACTCAAGGAAGTCCGAAAGGGTCCTTGGGTCTAGAATCAGAAATGCACTTTGGAGAGATCAAACATTCGGCGCCGGTAGGCTTGACGCCATCAAGGATCGCGAATACCATGATTCTACCAGCAAAGTCGTGTCCACACATGGTGGCTCCAGTATCTCACAGCAGGTCTGGTGGCAGTCTCATCACCGGGAGCATCCGTCACCTTCGGCGTCCTCACGACGTCTAACGAAGCCGGATCTTCCTCAAGCCCCTTTGCTCAAGGGACCGTGCGGACCTCTTCTTGCGACCTCTTTCCTCCTCTTCCTAGCAGTGATCAGCGCGGGAAATATGGGGTTCTTCTTATTGTTCTTCCACGAGAAAGAATCGTTTGGCACCGACCAGGTACTTCATTCGGAACGTGACGATATTGTTACAACACGGCGCAGTTCAGGACATGGCTTCATTTTCTGCAATCTCTTGATCACCACGACTATGCTGGCAGCCTTTTGTGGTTTTTGGCATTAGTCATTGTGGCGTACTGTACTCTCCGGAGGTCGGATGGGCAGCGGGGGGAACTGTTACGGTGTATGCGATTATCTTTTAGGTATTTGTGGTGCTGCAAGCTCCAGGAGTCTTAAGAACATATTCGCTCTGAATCGGACAGGCTCGTTAGACTAGCTGGCTGCGTTGAGGTCACGCCAGTAGGACTTGCTGCATGGAGAAAGATGGTTCCGCTCCAGAGAGCAAACGTGGCTTGTCTTGCAACCGCAAAAGGTGTGTCACTGTTGGCGAGGGCAGATTCCAAAACGTCAGATCAAGGTTGGGCTCGGCAACTCGCGTTCTGAATTAATACGAGGTACACAGCACGGAGTAGTCACATTTAATTTAATGGCGTGGTCATCACTGTGCTCGAATTAACAGGTGTTACAAGACTCATGGAAACGACAAGGCAACATGGATAGGTCAAGTTATCGCAATGGTATTGTGATATTTCAATGCTTTGCAGCATGAAGCCTTCAAAGGCTCTATCTCATCGCTCTTTCAGAACCAATATCGTTCGAAGTATCCTTGAGCCAATGCGCCCATCAACGCCCTACAGAATTGTACATGTCGCTTGCAGATAAGTGTCTTTCGTAATGATCATAAGCAATCTAGCTCAAGCCGCACCAGCTGTGGGCGTATTCTGGATCACCTTCGTAGGTTGCCAGCCAGCGCGGATGATCCTCTCTCCAGAAGAGTCACGGCTGACCTCGCCTTTGGCCTCCAGCTGCGATCTTCTCCAGATGTCCACTTCACCTCCTCCGCGAATGACACCTACTCTCATAGTAGAGAGCAAATTGTGGGCGGCATTGCTATGCATGTAAACACCACCATTGAACATGGCAGTAGCGTCCTTGCCAATGCCAGAACCGATCATAGCCTTACCGCCAGGATGATCCTTGATGAAGTCCGTCACATCATGGACTATGCCAGCAATAGCGACAAGACCTCGTCCATTCTTGGTTTGGTCCACGTAATCATCCCATTCCATGACAGGGAGTTGCTCAAGTGGGACACCCCAGTCGAGCTTGGAACGCTTCTGGTCGAGCTTCTTCTGCTGTTGCTGTAGACGGCCCTTTTCGATTTCGTTGCTGCGGAATTGCTTGAGATCGTACGCGAGGCCGAGTTGCTTGCAGGTCCAGATGAACCACTTGGTGGGATCATATTGATGCCATTCGATGGCATTCCGGTAATCGGACGGGAATTCGTGGTGGAAGTTGTGGTATCCCTCGCCAAGGGTGACAAGGGCTGTGATGACATGGTCACGGGGTGAGTTTCGGTCGTCGAATGGCTGGTCTCCGAGCCAGTGGGCGAGAGAGTTGACGCAGAAGGTGGCTTGTTGAACGAAGAATATTCGGAGAATACCAGCGTAGATGAAGCCACCGAGGTAGTCGCCCCAGCAAAGTCCAGCGACGAGGGTTGGGAAGACCAGACCCATGAACATGACAACTTTGAGGTAGTTCTTGTGTTGCCAGATGACGACGGGGTCTTCATTGAGGTCCGAGATATCGGTTCTTCCAATTCTCTTGGGATTTTGCTTCATGATCATCCAGCCGAGATGGGAATAGAGCAGCCCCTTGCGGACAGAATATGGGTCCTTCTCGGTATCGGTGTATCTGTGATGTGCTCGGTGGTCTCGTGCCCACCATCTGATAGAACCTTCAACGGCACCGCCACCGACAGCAGCGAGGAATACCCTCAGCGGTAGAGTGGCAGAGTATGAGGTGTGGGCCCATAACCTGTGGTACCCTGCTGTGATCCCCAAACCAGTTGCAAAGTAATACAACACCGAGAAGAGAGCGGTCTTCCACTGCAGAGGTGTCCACCAAGCCTGAACGCAACCGTACACAGGAATGCCGACGATGAGGGTAACGTTGAGCCAGTTGACGTGCTTGTACCAGTTGGACTTGGTCATGGGAGTCTCTGTGATGTGTGGCTTCTTCGGGTCGTACTTTGTACTTCTGTTGGGTTCGGAGGGCTTCGCCATAGTAGGAGGTTGTGGCGACTGGAACTCGGGCTTGACAGCCAGGTCACCAGCCGTGGGTTGTGACGAAGGCATGATTGAAGCTTGAATGAGTTTCAACTAATGCCAGGTGGAAAGGGTGTATGGAGGATGAAGGAGCAAGGGAAGATCGAGAAGAGAGTGAGCCGCAGGGTAGTTATATTGGAAGGAGGAGCTTGGCCTGAATCGGCGTTGGTCTGTTTGAGACTTTTCTCAGATATGTTGAGAGGCAATTGTGGGGAAAGGCGGTGGAAAGGGTCAAAGGCAGTGGTGGTGAAGCCGACACTCAGACGATACGAGTGGATGGATCAGCTCATCGGGTACCGAGGCGGGATTGGTCGCGATAAGGCATAAAACATGAATTTGGGGCCGACGAAGGTCCGTCAGAGAACTAGAACTGCAAATCATATTGAGCGAACTTTCCCCTGCCTCATGAGATCTCGCTGGCGGACGCCGCAATAGGCAAAACCTGGAGTTGGGAAGCAGCGATGTAAAGTGAAAGGGTTTGATTTTGTTGGGGAAGGCAACGTCACTCATTCAAACGGCAAGGGTCCTCGGGCATTATTTGATTGGAGGATCGTCTTCTGTGCCTTGCGCTAGAATCAGGCTAGAAGCCCAGGCGCATGGATGAGTGTGTGAATGGTAGCAGGGCTCACTGGGTTTTTCCGTTTTGCAGGCTTCCATCACACAGCATGCCAACGCTTGGTAGATAATTATAGCAACGAGGGACAGGCAGCATTTGCGCACTTTCGCATGAGAGCGTCTGGCCTCGATGACTGATACAAATTGGAGGACCACTGCATACGATTTTGACAGCCTGCAGGAACAGCATATACCTCGCAGAGCCTCCCCACTTCAGCTCAACCAAACCTAAATAGGGTTCGGAGTCGTCAGATCTCGGGTCTTTCACTCCGAAGCAGAATGCCCAGAACTGGGCTCTCCGAAACGGTTGGGCTTCGCTCTTCGTATTGCTCAGCGTATTTCGTACAAAAGGGAGCCTTAAAAGCGGCCGCCTTTCCGTCTGTCCGTGAAATGCAGATCATTGGCTGCCTCCACGACGACACAGTATGTCGAAGACAGTCCTTATCATATGATATCTGCATACTTCTGCCTTTCGTGGCATGTGCTGCGATGCCTCGTGTGTATGATGCGGCACGAGCAACACCTATGGGAAAACTGTTGAGATATGTGAGCTCAGGCCACTTCCCCGGAGACACGTCGCCAGATTGATGCAGGCTGTGACTTGAATTATGGATTACCTTCCATCGTGCTTGATGATTGAGTCACCGACTACCAAGATTCGAGGTGACGCCTCAAATTTTCAGCGCAATGAAGATATCAAGGTGAGCTGGCCAAGCCTGATGATAGAATGATCAACCATCAAGCATCGAGATCACGCCCCGAATCTTCGGGGCAATGGAAATATCAAGATGAGTTGGGCGTGTCTGATGATATAGTGATCGTCCATAAAGAATCGGCACCGCGCCTCAAATCGTCAGAGTAATGAAAATATCAAGGTGAGTTGGCAACATGAACCTAATTACCACGTATCATGGTCACCCATGGTAAGGTCTGAGCTGTGACGCAAGTGGTGCATTGATTGCAATTTCGCAACAACGATCTTCTCTGCATTTGCATCGCACAGGGTAGAAAGAGTACACGCTCAGGGATTTCGCGCGATGAGCACGGAGGTATGGCTTGGGAGGGACATTGTCGGGTCAGGTCTGAGTGATGCCGGTTGATGTTTGGCATGTTGCCCTCACCCTCCCTCGTCTGTCAACGTCATCCTGTGCTGCATCACCAAGGAACAGCCCTTGGCCCAAGATCCATCCCATAACTCCCTTCCCTCCGAATCTCACTGCCCCGATCCTCGACCCTTTCTCTAACCTCCGCGCCCATATCACCACCACCCTTCTTCCACTTCGCATGCAATCTTCTCGCGGCAAATCGACCCACACCCCAGATTCCTGCGGCAACAATTCCCGCTCCTATTGACGGTGGAGCAACCACCCACGCCACTCCGCTGACTGCCCCTCCAATTGCAGTAGCTCCTATCGCCGCCACGATTGACCCTACAGCGATATACTTTGCCCAGCGGACAAGGCGCCAGAGGATGAACTGCCCGACGTAGCGCACCGTACGCAGCAGTGCTCGCGTGCGCAAACGGGCCGGCCTCTCGGCGTTGGTTGGTGAGATTAGGTAGTTGAAGTTTCGCCTTGCGGAGACGAGTGCCGAGTTTGACTGTTGGTTGAGGGCGGCGTCTTCGTGCTCGTTGACGTGAGTTGCTTGAGCGGAGGGTCTCCCCCTCGATGGTGCCATCTTGGACGTTGAATCTGTGGGTTGATGGGAGTCGTTCCTCGAGGCGTGTACATAACGTGCTAGGAAACAGCGAGAATAGCTTCAGTCCTGTCACCGTCTGGGTTACCTAGGTAGCAAAGCATCCATGACGTCATGGAAGGGGAGCGCAGAATTACCCCAGCGATCCACGAGGTCGCCAGGGAACCACCAAGCACCGTCAAGGTGTGAAACCACCTAAACATGGGGATCTCAACTCGTAGGTGCTATTCCGTCCGTCATGCCGAGTGAGTGCTTCCACGAATGCGAGAGCTGGTCAGAGCACCCGCGTCCCCATTGTTCGCGACGTGAGCATCTATGTGACGCAAATGCAAGTAGAAGTAGAACTGGCTGACGCAACCGAACGTGAGAATGCGGAAATGCGAAAAGGTAGCTTTGAGCGTTGATTAGACTCGACAGTGCTAAAATCTGGCCTCTACCCGTACTGGCAAGGCATAGGCGGTCAGCGGCCGTGATAACCACAAAACCTCCGATGATATCTGAGCTTCACGGTCGTTCAACCTTGTCCGGCTAGACCGTGACAAGGCTTGCATGACCTCGCATTTCTGCCACAGGTGCAACTGGCTCCCCCTTGCGCGCTTGTACCTTTTGACAAGCCAGTTCCTCGGCCAAATCACATCTCTCACCAAGAATCACGACGAAGGCGACTGAACAACCGGGGTCGCTCAGCGCGATCTTTCCCGAATCGAATCGAGGCGATGTATGCGTTAGTGAGCATAAGATGCGGCCATCGTCATGCTCGTGGTCGCGCTTGGAACATAGAGAGGCTATCGCTCATTCAAAGCCGGTTTCATGTGTTGATAAAAGCAGTGAAGGTGCCGTGGTTGACAGCAGGGCAGATAGCGGGACGAGGCTCTTCCGTATTCGTTGGTGAACGAAGCAACAGAGTATACGTCCGAAACGGATCAGCTGGGCATCGCTTTAGGTGCTTCTGCCGCTCGCAAGTTGGTGAAGTCCTGTGGCCGGCTGATACTTGTCCACAAAAGGGAAGTCCAGGACACGGTTCTTCAGAGGTGTCCTTTTCTTTATATTCATGTTCGCAACCAGCTGGCATGGATAGCAGCGGTGTTTGGACGGTGCCTTCGGATATGTAAAGGGGATGCCGTCAAATACTGTAGTTCCGTCATGAAGTATTGCTGCAGATTTCGTCGTAGTCTTTGTACTTCTCTGCTCCCTGCGTAATGATGTCGGTCCATTGCTCCATCGAGCAGCTCGCTCCAGGACCGTCCTGGCAACTAGGTATCGGCCGGGGCGCCGTGTTCGCAATGACTCTTATGTACTCACCCTCACGCCCGGGTCGACCATCACATGTCATTTTTTCCATGCCGACGTGTCCTAGGAACGGGATGAGATCGCTCATTCTCCAAGATCGGGCCCAATTGATGTGGTCCGTAGGAAATTCTTCCACGGCTGAAGAAGACGAGTTGAATATTCCCAATGCCGTGGCCACAAAGGGTGGTACTTCGCGGTGGGTGAAGCTGAGAAAGAAGCGCTGGGATGGTGGCCAACCGGAGCCTGTATCTGTTGCCGAGCCGCTGTTCGGTTCGTGGTTAAGTTGCTGAAAGAGCTCGCTCTGTGTTTTAAGCCAGGGGAAGCCCAGATACGGTGACAACGGGTTCAGGGGGCCGACCATGTGGGAATACTTGAGGTCCCCTGTGGATGTTAGGATCTGTCTATCTGTAACCAGAGATCAAAGAGTAGTAGGCCAGACTTACAAGCATATTCATAAGCAAAGAACTCCGCATCAGTGAACTGTAAAGTAGTCAGTATCCGCGTCGGTGTCAATAGGACAAATGGGGAGCGGGCATAAAGAGGGGACAGCAGGGTCATTGTCTCAGTGTGCAACAGGTAAAAGCTGTCAGACACCAAGTTTTGAGGCACAACTTACGACTGCGCAGATGGGACTTTGTTCGCCTCTGATGGCTGACTCGTAACCACAGAGACTCTGCAGGCCAACAACGTCGTTGTCACTCAAGTCAAAAGGGGTGAATCGTGCCAGCCGCCCAGACACGTGTGGCGCATAGTGGTGGACGAACGTAGCCATCTCTTTGGTACCCGGGTCCTTGCTGAAGGCCGAGCAACTCTTGTGAGGGATCAGGCTGTCAAAACTGCCGTTATGGTTGTGGAGGAATTGCACAACCTCGATGTTTTTGTGATTCGGAAACGCCTTTGCTAGAGCTACCGCAGTGTCAAATGTCCTGGGCTTCTTGTCGGCCAAGATCTTCTTCACAGTCGGTGCCAGTGTCGGATATCGTTTGACAAGATGACTCCCAACCTTTTTTGCATCCTCTGCACCTGACGGAGTGATGTCCTCTAGGTGGTCCTCTAAGATTGGCGAGACCCATGTCGACATGAATTCGAGAGGACCAGACCAGCCTTGGCGGTGCTTCTCTAGCTTCCAGAGGAATGGTTTGATGTATTCTTCATACTCGTCGTCGTTTGCGTAAATAGCAGCATGCCGAACAAGATATGATGCAGCCGTGACTGTACAGCCCGGCGGTGCTGCATGTTCCAGGCCGAATCCCACGGCATCGAAGTACGGGGAAATACCCGGAAGATGTAACAGGGGGTCAAACTTGTAGCCTTGGGTATGATCTAGCAGGATTGGCGATTGCGCCGGGTAGAAGGGCAGCGCTGCAACATATGAGGCCAGATATAGTAGACATGCCAGAAGCGCCATGGTGGGAGCGCGTCCCACGCAGCCGATACCCCTGAGCTTGTCACTGCTTCACCACGAATCAAAGCTGTCGACGAGGCCGTGTTGAGTAACCTAGCTATGGTATCCGAACAACAAAGACAACCTACCAGAACAGACGGGGAGGTAAAAGCTGTCAGAGCTCAACGCGATGACGTCGACGGAGACGCATCTTCACCAGCCACACACCAGCCACCCATCACCTTCAGTATCCCCGTGGTTTGTAGATCCAGGGAGCCACTCGCAATGGACTCCTTGGACGCAACCATTTAGTTACTGTGCGGTTGAGAAATGATATGCGATGGATACACTCCTGGCAAACTGACGCTCTGGAACTGTATGCCCTCATTCAAACACGAGACGTGCAACCCCTAGATCAAGACTACCTCCGGAAGCTGGCACCGATGATGGCAAGACATTTTCGATAGTTGACATTGTGACTCGCCTGCGCAACTTGAGACATATCAATCATCCCGGATACTCGCCTGTGAGAATGTCACCACCGCAGCTGGATATTTTGAGAGATCCAAACTACTTAGCTCATAGCCCCGCGTTTATGTTCATGAATTAGCTCGGCCATCGGGCGAGATCCGCTCAGCTCACGAGAACACGAAGCTGAGTACGCGTTCAGATAGGATGATTCGTGGGGAACAGAATGCTAAGTGTTCAAATGAGGGAGCAAGACCTGCTGCCAACATTCTCGACTGGGCCTTTGCTGGGCGCCATGACAATGGCGGCTGGACCACAGATACTACGGAAAGATTGGCGTTGGATATCAAATCGTATCGCTGCGAGAGCGCGGTTAGGGTCTCAAGACCATTATTTGCCACATCAGATATTGTACAGGCGTGCATATTTGACATTTGGAATTGAGCAAAGTGGATGGATTCTGATAGTAGTTGCGAGTGTACAAGTACGCGTACGCCTGCGAGGCCTGCGTAAGTGGGGGTTTTGGTAGGCAAGCTCGATCACGAAACGATACGCCGCGGGCTGCGATAGGCGTTAGCGGAGCCCAGTACGAGCGTCACCGGCTTCGGTAAAAGAAGGCTTCCGGGAACTTGGGGCCAGCTCCTCGGTATGATTCCACCACTCGCATGCACGAACGACCGCGCCCCCTTCCTCCCACGCAGGTGCTTCAATGGTGTGGTCATCGCGGGTCGTTGTTGCTGGTCGAGTCTCCTGCTGCTCGTGCCCCTGCATCAGATGAGATGTGAATATCTCTGACGCGGATGACTTTTGCCTGAACCTTCAATCACAGGGAGGGCGGATGCGCGTTTCGGTGTGCACATGTTGCCTCACAATTGAGCGCGCGCATCTTGTCCGGGCGTTGTGAGTGCTCCTACAGTGCTCTCAAACTCTTAATGTCTTGCCGCCGGGATTTGCCATCACGCTCGTATCCCCGAGGGTCTTGACTCTGCACCCTGCCTTGCATTCGATATCGGACGCCAATCGAACCGAGCCCCCCAGACGCCAAACCGTGTGGATCCACTCCACCATCCTGGCTTTCCGGGCACCTGCAACTTGAAGCAGGTCGCAGAGCGGTTGTCAACACCATTCATACCTGTGACAACTTCTCAAACACGAAACTGTTGCGACTCCTCAGTAGCACAGCCTCACTCGTCCTTCCAAATCCTCTGCTCTTCTGTCCCCTGCTCCTTCGGCGCCTGACCGAGGTGTCCTTACTACCACAGACATTCGCCCCCTCCGAAGTCAGCCATCGTTGAGTCGATCCTTCGCCTCCGGATGTAAGCATCGACGCCCGACCACTAACCCACCTAACTGGAGAGAATGAGATCAGAGTCGTGGCCTTGATATATTGAGTCTTCGAGTCGCTCCACTGATCCCTGTTCCACGCATGTAACCTTCTGTCCTATCTGAACGCAGCGAGCTGGCCGAATCCTACACGTGTGGATGAAAAGAGGCGGCTCCAACAAACACACACGAGCGGATAAGTGAGAGGAAGGACTTGACGGTAACGAAATGGAGTGCAACATGCGCCGTCTGCCAGGCTGTGGAAGATGGCTGGTAGCTACGGTCGCAATGCTGTCGTTGTTCGGTTCCAGAGCGGCGGCCCAGACGATCGCTCCGTCCAACAGCACACAGGATCTATTTCCCTCGTCGACCTCGCCGCGATTCATCATGAACGGCACAGAGTTTTCAAATATCCCAGTGGTGCGATTGGCTCCCTTGGGACAATATGCTGAGATGTCGCATGACAACTTTCTACGAGTCGAGGTGGAAGGACACCTGGTCAACGTCGACGCATCCAATGCCAACGATATCGCCGATATCGGTCAGTTTTCCTACATATCTTGCGACCCAGAAGATTATCCGGGCAATCTGGACGCAAGCCAGGTCTTTCGTATAGTGGTCAACTCGCCGCGGGCCAACATTGTGATCCTGTATAGCGAGACTAGCGATCATTGCATTGCAACCGGCCTCGACACCTTGCCAAACATCGGCGGCATCTTGACAACAACCGATACTATGTTAGCATCGAGTCTTGCGGCCTTGAGCTTGACGGAAGAGAGCACTGGAACAGCAACTATACTGCCAGACCTCAACTCTTACACCAATTCGTCTTCGCCTGGCTGGGGTGGCAATGGCGGTCTCGGTAATTCTCCGACGACTGCCGTTGCCATGATCATACTCTACTCCATTACTGGTATCATCACCGCTCTTTTCGTTGTCATCATCGTCACTGGAGCGGTAAGAGCGCACAGACATCCGGAAAGGTACGGACCCCGAAATATTGTGGGAAGAGGGAGGCAAAGTCGTGCAAGGGGTATTGCCCGTGCGATGCTTGAGACGCTTCCTATTGTTAAATTTGGCGACCATCAAGACCTTCCCCCGAAACCGGCAGAGGGATCGGACATTGAAATGAATGCCGGCTCCACCCACCCTCCTTCAACAGACAATACCGATTCGGCCAACAAGGCTGTGGCAGGTGAAGTGGTCACTTCGGAAACACAGAGTGACAGGGCCCAGGCAATGATAGCCACCGCCAATCCCGATGGAACGGACGCCGAAGGCCACCTAGGCTGCTCAATATGTACCGAGGACTTCAAGAAGGGAGAGGAGGTACGAGTGCTGCCTTGCAACCACAAATTCCACCCTGATTGTGTCGACCCTTGGCTGCTGAACGTCAGCGGCACCTGTCCACTCTGCCGTATCGATTTGAGACCATTAGGTCAAGAGACCGAAGGAGAGGAGCGGAGAGGCTCCACTGCCACCACAGACCATGACGGGCAACTTCCGCCGCCGCTGCCGGCCGGAGCAGCTGATTCCGGTGCTACACCTTACCGAGGTGGACGTAGGGAGACGATAGCCAATCTTCGACATCTGGCTCATGGCTCCCGTGCCGAACGCATCGCGGCGCTGAGGCAGATGAGAATAGAGAGACTTGGATCAAATTCCGATCAGCCCGCCAATGACGAGGAGCGATCAGGCCTGGCTAGGAGATTCCGAGAAAGATTTCGGATAAGGACAGAGAGACGAGGGGCCACTGCCGAGTGACTGCACTGACGACCTCTCGGCTAGCTTTCGGCAGCAATCAAAAGTTTTATGCTTTGTGGCCCGCACGGCATCAAGAAATGATGATTTCGATCTTTGGCGTTACTGTTATTGGGGACACGAAGCGCACCCGCTGGACCCATTTTCAGGTTCTTGTCGTTGGTGTGAGCGTTTTGGGCTAGGTTTTCATGCTTACAGTACGCACATTGCCGCGGGTTGGCATACTGTATATTGATGTACGCGACCATGACTGCCAGGGTATATGCACTGATGGAATGAGGACATGGAATATGTACATGGATGCCGGGAGCATTGCATATAGCGAGCGTATCCTAAATGGACAATCTGCTCGGAATACAGATGACCTTGGGTCTCGTCCCAAAGTACCCAACCTCATTTCCAAGGGGTCAGTCTCGGATTTAATATGTGCCACCGGGCTCCTGGCCTGACATCGGTGAGGCCGAGGGCACCCATAAGTAGGATGCTTCCGGTCTCCTAGAATACGAGGTACTCAATTTGAGGTTGCCAGCTTTTGTACCTCTGCTGCTCCAAGGTAGTAGTCCACGCGAGGATGAAAGTGTCAGGTTGCTCTCCTCTTTAAAGGCTGTCCACGATAAAAGCGCCGTGTAGACCAAGATCGCCACAGGTCACATCGTAGGTGCGAGCGACGACTCGAGCAAGAGGCCGGACACGAAAGGAGAAGACATAGTCTAGACAGGAGACTGTTCGACATCATTCCATTGGATTGCTCTCATTCAACGCGTTTCTGCTAATTGGCATCGAGCCTCGATTCATCTATCTCATCTCCGTCGCTCACCTTCTTCTCTCGATCGATCATACCCGCTGCTCATTCCTCTTGAAATCTCCTCTGTTATGTCCCTTGCCGCGGACCAGCCGCGCGAAGTCAGCGTGTCGCCTGAATCCCTCTTCCTCTCGCGCTCGCCCCGGTCGTCGTGTCCTTCTCCGCCTCCACCCCCGGCAGGGCTTGAGCCAGCAAGCCAGCCGCTCACCCCAGCGGCGATCCACCCGCCACTTGTCCGGCGGGGGTCGCGCTCCCGCTCGTCAGCTTCGTCGTATTCGACGTTTTCGAACGACTGTTCACTCTTCGACTTCGTCTTGAGCCCGCCCCCAATGGCGAGCCCAGACCCCGAACTTGACGGCCTCTTGCTGTGGCTCCCGCTGCCACTGGCGCTTCTGCTTCCGTTCCCACCGCGCTCGCCGCGTGGGTCCGAGCCGTAGGCAAGATCTAGGTTCTGCTGCTCCTTGTCCAGCATCTTCAACAGGCCTTGTAACCTGGTTTGTTGGGCAGCTATGAAGGAAGCCTTCTCGGCGGTAGATTGTCCAGGGATGTTATCAAAGTTGAACAGCGAAGGTGGGATGTTGATAGACGCTGCATCTGTTGCAGCAGAGCGCTGGGCTGAAGATGTCGCGAACGCCGCGCCTGCGAGGTGGGACAGTGTGTTGTAGACTGTCGAGGAGGATGTGCCTGGTTGAGTGGGCGTGTTCGTCCTTGCGCCAGGCATGGCGAAGCGGGAGAGTAGGTCTGTCGCGTAGGAGGCATAGCTTCCAGCACTGGCTCCTTGCTGTTGACCGGCTGCTGCTGGTCCTTGTTGTTGAGGGCTCTTCTGGCCCAGAATGCGGTCTCGTGCCCATTCGATTGCAATGTTCAAGTATCCCATGCCCATCTGTTGCAGCCTGTCGTGCGTTTCACCAATGAACTGATCAATCTGCGTCTCATGGTGTACAATGTATGGTTCCAGGTAGTCCAGGTATAAAATCTTGGCGCCCTGAGTCTGGGGGAGCACGAGGTAGAGCAGGAATATGAGTCGAAGCCATGAGTAGAAGGGAATCCAGCCGATTACGAACAGGGTCCAGGATTCGAAAAGGAGGGTTAGTGAGAGGATCGTGAAGTAGATGAGCCACGGATGGGTTTGGGCAGGGTCGTTCGTCCGTAGGGCTTTGTAGGAGATATATGCGGGGAGGAGGATTGTTGTGACGGAGCTGACTGTGTGAGATTTTGGCTGGAGGCGGTGTGCAAAGAGCTGTACTCACGCTATGAGGTCTGCTATGATTCCGAACATGATGAGTTGGCTGTGAAAAGTATGGAGTCCTCCTGGAAAGCGCTTTCAAGAGAAGGGCTGAGGCTAAGTACCTCCTAGTGTAACAGGCGAAGGGAATAGCAATCAAATAATCATATAGTACAGGTGTCTTCTTTTCTACGCTCGACTTGACAGTTCTCCAGTTGACAGCGGATGAGAACAAAGTCGGTGTGTGCCTGGAGCTGAGAAAGGCACAAGACCAGGCTGATTGTTACTCCGCACGGGTTTCCACATGCCAGCCTCGTCTAATCGATAAGATGAGGGGTTGGGCTAGGGTGAAGCATACAGCCCAGCAGGGCTTAGATGAACGATCCTCCGTAATTCTGTTTATCCAATCTCAACTTTGAGCCATGCCGTCAATGCTCGAATGTACAGCGTTCATGGTCGAACCGTGCTCGAACATATTGTTGCCTGCTCGGGGAACTGACTAGCGGCAATTTACTGATCAGAAGAGCAGTCCTTGGAGGAGTACACCCCGTTTCTGGCTCTTCTGGCTCTTCTGGCTCTTCTGCCTCGGTTCCCGACTTTTCTGAACAAAGCACAGCTCTGTTGTACAACCATAAGCAGCAAACAGTTTGAATGCAAACGATCCATTACATCAGCCTCTCAGAGAGTTCCCAGCCGTGGCTTGCTTTAGGTGTGACGAGACCCGAACCGGCTCGAGGTGGATTGAATATAAATTCCACTACCTCTTTTCCGGCCAAGTACCATTGAGCGCCGTCTGCTTCAGATAACACAACGGAATATTCAAAATGTGTATCGCCCTAATATCGACCGCTCACCCGTCGTACAGGCTGATTCTGATCGACAACCGTGACGAATACCTCAATCGTCCAACAGATATTGCCCGATGGTGGCCGAAGCCTCATTCCCACGTCCTTGGAGGCCGGGATATGCACCGCGACGTCCACGGTACCTGGCTTGGAGTCACAAGGACGGGCAAGATTGCCGTCTTGACCAACTATCGCGAGGACGTAACTCCAGCTCCAACAGCTGTCAGTCGCGGGGCCATCATCAAGAAGTTCCTGGCAGAGGATGTCGGCCCCGTCGAGGATTTTGTCAAGAATGTTGTCAACACAGGCATTGCAAAGGATGCCGGCGGGTTCAGCCTGGTCTGCGGACACATCGGCGAGAAGCTCGCCGTTATCTCCAACCGAGCCGAGGATCAGAGCCAAGTTCCCTGGATAGCTGGGGACGTGGTTCAGACTGTCGGCCTGAGCAACGCGACCTTTTCAGACCGGTCGTGGAAAAAGGTGGTCCTGGGAGAGGAGCTGATGCTGAACACCATTCGTCAAAACATTGAAAATGGGGAATCCGAAGACCAACTGATCCAAAGGTTCCTAGACTTGCTCAGTCACGAAACCCTGCCTAGGGAGGGTAAAGCTGACGACGCTGGTCTGGAGGCATATATTTCCGATCTCAGACATTCCATATACGTGCCTCCGCTGGGGAGGAAAGATATGACTGGTCTCAGAGACGATGAGATTGCTGCCGCAAGAAAGCATGAGAAGGTCGACATTATCGGCCACAACACACCCGTCCGAACTGGTTCCCCAGCTACCAACGGCTCAAATAGGGCCCAGCAGCTCGGCATCAGCGGACTTTACGGAACGCAGAAGCAGTCAATCGTGCTGGCTGATTACCAGGGAAATGTCCGCTTTTTCGAAAGAACACTGTTTGACGAGAAGTCGAATCCTGTCCCTGCGGGCAAAGGCGACGTTGATGTGAGGTTCCAGATCCAGAACCCAATAGAGTCTACGGACTAGCGTCAGCATGTAACATCATAAGCTGAGGCAAAGTCTCTGTGTAACAGTTCACAGGTACGAAGCTTTTCCTCTTCAGGCCAAACGATAACATTGGCATGGATAGGTAGAAGGTCGATGAAGCTTGCTTTCACCCGGTCCGTTGACCTTTCTCTCGGAAATGACATGGATGCATCCGCAATAGCGCCAATCCCTACTCATATCGAACCACTGCTTCTCTTAGTAGCGCTACCGTGGATTCAGCGGATCCCGGGTACTGACTTCTCGCAGACTTTCTGGCAAAGCTGAACACCTTTGACAAAAAGTTCTGTGACTAGATTGGTACCTGAATTGCGACGTGCTATCATTCAGCGTGGGAAAGTCGATTAAGCTGTGAACACGGCAAGAATATGTGGGAATGAACATGATGGAATCGCCTTGAGGAGGATGCATGGATCTTCTTCATTGCTGAACAGCCTTTGCGGCTCTCCACCGACTTGACAGTTTCCAAGGAGTGCCACGTACACTTTCGGAACGAGTGTTATACACTTTATTCTCTTCCAAAAGTGCAACCTTCATGGTACACAACCCCCATATGATTCAGAATATGTCCACGACAATGCCTAAGGACAGGACTTGAATATGACTGAGCATAAAGAACTGGTGCCGGATCCACTGGCCATCAGACTGAGACAGACAATCAACATCGTCCTCCTGTGAGATGTTATTGATACAAGGTGCGGCAGTGTTTGTGATGTGAACACAGCGCTCACTCACCACTTGTGCACTTATTTTGCATGCCACGACCGCACATTCGTCTCTGCGCTTCTCCTCGATTTCATCCCATCGTCCTTCGCAGCGTACAAACCACGAACCGTTCTTTTCTTTTCGTTTCCGTGCTCAGGTAAAGCGTTCACCCTTTCACCGCAGAAATGGCTTCTCCTGCACAGACCACCAGTTCCTCACCTTCAGACCTTCGCCTCGTTGACACCAGCCAGCTTTGCGAAAGCTGCGCCGCTCAGATTTCACCCGTGGGCCACGGCCACAACGCCTCGAGTCCGCATGCCCCCCAGAGCAACAGCAACAACAGCGGCAACAACGAGAGGAACAAGCCCTCGACATCTACATTCACCCCGACAGAGACTCCAGAAGCCTCCTCGAGCGTCAACACAACAGCACCGGCACCGGCTCCAGCACCCACAGCAACAACAGAGGACATCGTCCAACTGATCATGATATCCGAGCTGAGAAGCGCCGAAGAAAAGCTGGAGCAGGGACACGCCGACCTCGAGACCGCTAGGCGGGCGTTCGAACACGAACGCCGGGGCGTGTTGGCATCGATGCGGAACGCGCGGGAGTCCCTCCGCGTCGCCACGGACGGATACTGCTAGAACACGCACGACCTGTCCGTGGCGATGACGGTCTTCCGACGCGAGAAGCACGAGTTCGAGAACGCGAAGGCGGAACTTGAGCGGGAGAAGGCCGCGTTGGAGGAGGCGCGCGTGGCGCTCAACACGGAGCGCGAGGCATTCGAGGCCGAGGTGCAGGCGGCGCACACCAGAGGCGAGAGGAGAAAGAAGATTTGGAGACGAGTGACCGGGTGGTTGGGCCGTCGATGAGGGCGGGTGCAGGGGGAGGGGAGGAGTGCCCAGAGAGGGCGTGTGTTGGCTGGTTGGTCGCCGGCGCCAGCACGAGCACCAGAGGGGGCCGTTGCCTTGAGCACGGTTACTGAAGACATACAGTACATGAAACTGCCCTCTCTACCATGTTTACTTCTGCCCAGTGAGCCGTGGTGACAAGTGAGAGCGTGTCTGCCATGAAGAGCGCCATGCCATCTCGTGCCGTCACAAAAGGATCATGCCCCCAGCAGCAGACCGAAATCCATGTTATTCGCAGCGTACCTTTGCCCTTTGTCCATGCTGACTTCACATGTTGTCCAAGCATGTTGTTGCAGATGATGTGTCGCAGTAAGAACGGAAGAACTAAGTGCTATGTCCACTTGCCCGCGCATCCCCACCCCTATGCCAGCCAAGAACCACCACAGTATGTAACTAGCTGCACGGGAGACACCAGTGTGAAACTTGCAATGGGGAGCGGAAGAAGAGTCATCAGAACTTAGATCCAGCCCACCTCATTGGCACAAGTTTGCAGTTCCTACGCTCACAGGGTACTGTAGACGTGGGTGGGTAGATGGATGGGTGGAGGATGTTAGATCTTAGAATCTGACGGCAATGCCCACATCCAACATGACGAGAGAATGCAACGTTGATAGGCCGCCACACACCAATGAACACCCTCTCGACAAATGCGGAAATACACTGGTTCACCCGGGTTGTGGACTGTGTGCGACACCTGCAGATCAGAGGTGCGACGGACACGGGCTGGTACGATGGGCAGCGTGTCATCTGGCGTTCAAGCGATAAGCCTACATACCGACGAACCCGGCATAAGCAGGCGTGCGCTCACACACTACATTGACAGAATGAGATGAGGTCGGTCACAATCTGACTCGGATTCTGATGGGACGGGACTTGTGAGTTCTTTGCTCTTTCGCGACTCCCGAGACCGACAGGCAGAAAAAAGAAGACCGCTCGTATCGCTGGCAACTGGAGGCACACTCGTGGCCTTATCCCAAGGACACCGGACTCAAGCTCACTGTGCTGGAGTTTCCGACCGAGAAACAGCGTCAACATACTCGATCCAGGCCGCGGGGGGATGCGAGCCGCGAGTCGCGAGCTTCGTTCAGGCTTTTGTCTAAGGACGAGAACTCATCCGAGAATCTAACCGTCACAACGACCGAGTGGCATCTCTTCCACCAAGGAGACCTGTCTCTTCAATCTGTTGTCAATCCACATTTCACGTCAATCCTGAGCTTCCAGATCTCGACGCGAGAGACCCTCCTCCATTGCAAAGCCGGGGAGGATGCTTTCCCAGTGCTTGAAACTCCCCGCATCAACGACCGGCATCGACTCGGGTATAATGACACGACCGCCACAGGCTGCCTGGATCGAGAGGGCCAAAAGGCAGCGCGACACGATCGCAATATCACGGGCGGACGAGGCACATATCTCGATCCCGGACCCGTCAATCTTGAACGTACCATACAAGGAAGGTGCCAGGACAACTTCATGCCGGTTCGAAATGAGGCGGTTGAAGGGGTCGAGGCAGTTCTGGTCTGCCGCCCAGTTGGCAGTGGAAGGCTTTAAAACGTGGATCGTGGTTTATTCTGGTGATGGAGGCGTCGGGAGTGCTGTCACTGGCGATTGCATTGTCTCTGAAGACTGGACTGCGTGTCCGCGGTAACCATGTGCTGTCAAGGGACGCCGAGATCTGGTTCGCATGAGAAGGAAATTCAAGCATTGAATGTGCTTTCGGTCGATGATAGCGGGCCGTACTCAAGGCCGTCAACACAGAAGCAAGATGGAGGTGGTTGGCAAGCTCGGATTTGCCCTTAAAGCCCCAAACCTCCCAAGGAATCCTACCAACACACATGAAAATTATCACAATTTCACCTCTGAGCAGTTGAGCAGCCACCAGCAGCAGCTCGCAATTATTGCTCACCACAGTTCACAGACCGGCTCCTTCTCCTTACACTGGAAACTCTCTATAAAATCCTTCGAATTGGCCATGGTGCCCAGTATCCTCGCAAACTTCGGCGCGTGTGGATCCAGATAGATCCTCTGGATGGCCGTTTCCTTCCTGGTCTTCCCACACCACCAATTGGCATAGTTGACAAAGAAGAGCTGCTCCTGCGTGAAGAAATCAAGCCCGGGGAGATCTTGGTTGGGGTTCTCCGCCGCACGTTTTTGCCACGCTTTGAACGCGGCTGCGAGTCCACCAGCATCGGCGATGTTCTCGCCCAGGGTCAATCGACCATTGACATGTAGAGGCTTGCCATCCGGGCCCTCGACTGTAAAATTGGCGTACTGCTCGACGAAGCACTCGGCTCGTTTTTTGAAGTTCTCAACCGTCTTTTCCGTCCACCAGTCCGTGAAGTTGCCATTCTGATCGTAGTGGCGGCCCGTGGAGTCGAATGCGTGGGAGAGTTCGTGCCCAGAGACCGAGCCGAAAGCACCGTAGGATAGGTATTGAGGCACATTCACGTCGAAGACGGGAAACTGCATTATTCCTGCTGGAAAGACAATTTCATTGCCAGGGGGATTGTAGTACGCATTGACTGTGGGCACAGTCATGTCCCATTGCTCTCGGTCAACAGGCTTTCCGAGAGCAGCCCATTCCTCCTTGACTTCGTTTCGAACGAGAGACACAGCATTTTCGAAATACGTGGTTGAGTTGATCTCGACAGAGGAGTAATAATTCTTCAACTTCTCAGGGTCGAGGATGTTAGGGCTCTGCGAGGGCAAAAGTCAGCTCAGGTTCCCCGGCCCGTGAAGTGCTCGGCAGCGGTACCTTGTCAGGATATCCAATCTTCTGGACAATATTATGGACCTTCGAGATTGCTAGGTCGATAACCTCTTTCTCCATCCACTCAGTGACCTTGAGCTTTTCGATGAACTGATCCTTAATATCGGTAACGATCTGGTCACCGAATGCCTTGGCTTCGGCCGAGAAGGCCTTTTCCACGAAGAAGCGGCTCAGAATCCAGCCCAGCCCAGAGTCAACGTGACGAACACACTTCCTCCACCGTTCTGGCTTCGTGTCTGGGTCCTTGAAAGGGTCAGCTTTTGGGCCCGTGCGGAGATGCCAACGTACCTGTCCTGACAGCTCGTTTTGAAATCTCTCGATGGGCACGACCGCATCTGCCTCTATGAAACTGTAGTATGACTGGATGGTCTTCCATAGGAAATATGTGTGGAGCGTCTCTTCCGGAGTGTCAGACACCAGCCTGCTGAGGTCTTTCATGTATTGTGGCGCCATGACAATGATACGGTTTGGCTTGTAATCCGACGGCACAAGCTCGTGAAGAACTTTCGAGAGCTTCAGCTCTGGCGCAAGAGCCTCCGCATCCTTCAATGACATGGGGTTGTAGTATTTCTGTAGACGTCAGTCGTGGGGGCATAAGCGGGCCGTATCCAACTTACAGTCACGTCGTTGCGATCCTCTGCATCTGGAGTGGCAGCCGCGATGTTCTTCTCGAACTCAACCAGAGCATGAGTATCGACATGTCGCAGAGCTCCGTATGACTGCAGGGAAGAGAAGACCTCAGATGCGGTGGCTTCGTACTTCTTCAGGATCTTTTCGTCCTCATACAGCTCTTTCGCAGGCAAGCCGACACTCCATGGAGCCGAGACAGACACAACTACGGTGTCTGGATCCTTGTCGTCTGCACCAGTTCCGGCAGAGATCAAGGTGGATTGCCCAGTCTTAAGTGCGTATAACACTGTGGATGAGAGGTCGCCAGAGGAGAAATGCTTCGACGTCTCGTTGAGAATGTCGAGCAGGGGAGCAATACCGAGCTTTTTGATGGTCTCCTCGTTCAAACAAGCATCATAAGCTGCTTTGAGTTTATTGAAGTTGTCCTTGTCAGCAGAGCTGCTGGCACGATCCAGGCTCCGAGGCGAGAAGTAGGAATGCTGAGGGGCTGGTTAGCATCAATCCGTGACAGAGCGTCCCGCTGATGAACTTACTGCAGAGTCACCAGGATATGGAGCTTCGAGAATGTGGCGTAACAATGTCTGGGAGTTCTCGGACATGATGGTGCCGGTGAAGGCATCACCTTGGTCAGGACGAAGATCATGACGGTCCCGCCAGCCCCCGCAAACTAGCTCTTCGAAATCGGTACACGGGTCGATGTTCTTGTAGTCCGGGTGGAGGTTGTACAGCAGCTCCGAAGAAGCGTGGACGCAAGCAGGAGTCAGACAGATGTTGGCCTCATTAGAACGCAGTTCTTCGGTATAGCCTTCGAAACGTTAAGCCCCGTACTGACTCCTCTGATCTGGAAAGCGGCATACCTCGAAAAGGGTCGCGCTCATTCTTTGACCAGCTTTCTCTCCATCGAACAAATGATGGATGATCCCAGAACAACAGACAGGTTCCTCCCAATGCGGCAGTCACAAAGATGACGTAAAGATACCAAGGGACATGTTCTTCACGTCGACGCTCCTCACAGCAACGGCAGCAAGCGCCTGCCACAGGTCTGTTGTTTTCCTCATCGCGAAGCAGCGGCGTGGTTTCTTTTGGATGACGGCATCTCTCATAGGGCGGAGGGGACGCCATCATAAATCGTAACACAAACAACCGAAAATCCCGATTCTGCGAGTTGTTTGCTTAGAGATTTTGATGAAGACAGACAGAAGATCAAAGAAAGCACGTAATGACATGGACGCCTGTTGCTGTCCAACGCGCTTCCCACATTGAGCTTAGTGACTCCGATCATCACTGCAGGCACAGCTTTAAGCCTGCGCCAGCTATAGCTCTCGGCGCGGGGAAGCCTGGACGTCTAAGTTTAGGCGCATGCGATAGCTTGACGCCAGCACCACCGGGAGGCGCGGACTCCCACGGCAGCCAATGCTCTCACGTGCTCCTTCGTCAGGGTGCAGTAGTATTCAGGTACCAAGGTAGGTTTTGCTGATTGTTTTGTTTCCACCTCTCAAGCACCATACAGAATCATAGCGTCATCATTTTTCGATACTCAAACTCCAGGGCTAGATTTTGGCCGAATTTTCCCTGTGTCTCAAGGCACGCGGCAGATTATATCAGCCAGGCGGAGCACTCATGTCGCGGTGAACGAGCTCAATAGCTTCAGGCTCCGATGGCAGCCATAAAACATGATGTCAGTTGTGAGGCAGATGCCTCCTACTGTAGCTGCCTCCTGCCAATTGAATCTTATGGAGACCCTCGACGAAATGGCCTAGGTCCGTACGCGGGCACTCGGTTGGTCGGAGGGTCGGATGGTGGCATATCGGATGGTTGAGTCGAGCCCTTACACTCCTTTGAGCTGCCCGTGCCCCTTCGAGAAGAGAGACTTATATACCAAGGTATATTTCTGCTTCCGAGATGGTACTCACGACCAGAAGACAATCAGCCAAGGCCGTTGAGACAAGGTCCAGGCGAAAACCACCAAAACCAGACGTCGCACCTCGAGCAAAGCGCATCTCTGATCTTCCACATCCACAACGTGGTCCTCGCACAATCTACCGTATTCGCGGCTCATATGGCACCCTCCAACAGAGCAGCCTACTTGGTTGCCGCCAAGAAGCGGCCTTTAGAGGTCCAGTCCGCAGCGTACACACAACCGGGTCCGGGCCAGATCACCATCAAGACACGTGCTGTCGCTACAAATCCACTGGACTTCATCAAGCAAACTGTTGGCGACCTGCTGTATGACTGGGTGAAATACCCGATCATTCTGGGAAGTGATGTCGCGGGAGACGTTGTCGAAGTCGGGAAGGACGTCACAAAGTTCAAGGTCGGCGATCGCGTAGTAGGCCACTCCATCGGCATGGCCAAGAAGCATAACTCTCCCGCTTTGTGTGGATTTCAGGAGTATGTCAACCTGCTGGCGCACATGTCGTCCCGCATTCCCGACAGCCTATCCCATGAGAATGCAGCGGTGATTCCTCTGGGGCTGTCGACCGCGGCTTGCGCGCTATTCCAAAAGGATCAGCTAGCGCTGCAATTCCCTTCAACCCCTGCGGCAAAGTCAACTGGGAGGACAGTCCTCATCTGGGGAGGCTCGACAAGCGTGGGCGTCAATGCAATCCAGCTTGCCACTGCAGCCGGGTACGATGTTATCACGACATGTTCACCGCGCAATTTCGACTTGGTCAAGCGCCTTGGAGCGATTGCTGCGTTTGACTATCACACCTCGACCGTGGTCCAGGACGTCAAGGACGCCTTCCAAGGAAGAATCACTGCTGGGGCAATCTCGATAGGACAAGGCGCAGCAGGGGCGTGCATGAACATCCTTGGATCGTGCAAGGGCGACAGGGTTCTCTCGATGGCCACTTATCCGCTCGATCCCATGAACTTGCCCAAGCGGTTCGTCATGCCGATCATTGCATACACCTACCTCTCCGGTATAGCCTCTCTGTGGATCAAGGCGAAGCGTTACGGCGTTCGAAGTCAGTTCATATTCGGAGATACTCTCGTCGACAACGAGGTCGGGCCTATGATATACCAGCAGTTTCTTCCCAAGGCTCTAACAGATGGGTCATTTGTTGCTGCACCGGAACCCGAAATAGTTGGCCATGGTCTGGAAATGATCCAGCACGCTCTGGATGTGCACATGGGGGGAGTCAGCGCGAAGAAGCCCGTCGTGACATTATGACGACAACATCAGCGTACGAGCAAACAGGCATTCCCAAATATCACCTCGCCCGATATGTCCGTGTAAAATAATCCCTATTTCCAGGTATGAAATATCTTTTTTCGTTTGAGCCGTCACGGAGGCAAGGCAGAGGCAACGAGTCCCAGTGACACTACAATACAACATCCAATATCCTTCCAGCAAGTTATCAATTCTTTCTTCCTCTCCTGCTTCACGTGTGTCCAGCGGATGTCTGCGACAAGTGTACGTGTTTGGAGGGGAAAGGGCAAAGGGCCAAAAGTTCTACACAGCGTATGACACGGTAGCAATGAACATCCAGCGTACTTACCACATATTTCCTACAGTTCGTCCTTGTGGGCATACACTCCCGCTTCCTCCACGGTCCCTTTCACACACCCTCCATGACCTCCCTCTCCATCCGCCTCCCAAACACAACCCCGCGGACACGCCGCCTGCGCGCCCCCAAACTGCCACCTGAACAGCTCCTCCGTCTCATTCGCCCACACCTCACCCACAATCCGTGTCCTGTGCGCCGATAGCCTGCCCACGCTGCGGGAGAAAATCTCCGTCGATCGGATCACGATCTGAGGCCAGTTGTGCGACCGAAGCGTCGGGATCGACGTCGAGAATATATATTCCTTGAAGCCACCATAGAGGATGGCGGAGGAGCACTAAGTAGCGGCGTCAATTCAGAGTCAGAGTCAGTTCTTTGTGAGGGTTTGACTTACCATAGGGCACGCCTCCGCCGTGGTATATAGACTCAGATCGCCCAGAGCCTTGAGGGCCTCGGGGCCTGTGAGCTTGTATTTCCCCACGGGATCGGTGAGAATGGCGGTGCAATTGTTGATGGCTGCGACCTCGCCTGATATGCGTGGGGAGGAAGCCAAATGGTTAGCTACTTCATCGACTCGCTTTACAACTTTCTACCAGAAGAATCGAACAGATGAACCGCTGCTCATCTTCGACTTCGAACCCCAAGGTCACAACCACAACCGCGCGACGTGTCCGTCCCACCAGTGACCAGGGGTCCCATCATTGGACCCATTCCTCCAAAGCTAGACTATTTGATGGAATAAAGCATACACAAACTCACCATGCATTGTCGGGTTCCCCTCCCTCACGATCGCGTTGGCTCCAATGCAGACCTCGCTCCCGAGCTCCACTCCGAGTTCTACATCCGCGATACCGCCCCTACCCGTCGCGACGGCCGAATGGTTGACGATTACGCACCCGAACGCGGCGAACGGACAGGGCGACCCATCGTTGAGGTCGGATAGAGCTTCCACCGCGCGGCGCATCCAGTGTTCGCGGGTGGAGAGGGGGATGGGGTCCTGGGGTAAGGTGTAAGGTGTTTCAGGATCGGGCCAGTGAGAGAGATCATCCCGGTTGTTTAGATGGTGGTTTGGATCCTGGGAGTGCGCCTCGGCGTGGAAATAGGAGGAGAGGACGACGAGTAGTAGAAAAGTGAACGAGGCGCCCTTGATGGGCATTAAGGTGAGGAGCATTGCGATGTATCGATATAAATGTGTAAGTTAGTGAACAGTCGGTCTGAGATTATTGCTCCTGAAGCTGACCTTCCAGTACTCAAGTTTGGTGGGAAAAGTAGTTCATAATATGTAGATCGTACAATCATCAATCTGCTGCCATGATATGATACACATGAATGGACTTTAGCACGGCGCTCTTGTCCGACACATCTCAATATGCACGCATATCTCCCTCAGCCTTGCTTACCCGGGTGGCATCCTGTGCTCTTGCCACCCTTGCATTAGGACCACATCCATCATTGCATGACAAGGCCGTTCTCGCGACACCCTCAATCAATGTCCTCAGGACCCTCGATTGTTTCCACCTCTTCCAGAGTCTCCAGTGCAGCACGGTCCAGGGCAACTCGGAAGCCAACACCGCCAGAGGCCCTCAGCATGGCTGCATTCACATTCCACGTGGGCACCATATCCAACAGCTTCGGATGCACATTCGATGTAGAAGTTCCACTGCTCACCACTGGTGTGGACACACTCCTTTGCGTACTAGCCCTCTGCTTCTGCGCCTTCGCCTTTTCTCTCTCATGCTTGACCGCCACGTCCGGAGGCGGCATTCGTTTGGCGAAGACACTGGGCCACTCGATCTCCTTAAGACAGAGCCGCTGGATCTCGAGAGCGACGTAGCCCGGTGACACCAGGACTATCTTCTGCCGTGCCAACGGATGGTCACTGTATTGTTCGAGCATGCGGGCGAATCCATTGTCGAGACAGGCTGCGACGAAGATCGCATGGCAGTTGGGCGTGGACAAGAAGAGATGAAAGTTCTCTGCACCAAGACAAAACGGACGGGTTAGTGATTGTCGATTTCTTTCCATTGGGGGAAATGACGGCCTTACCTCTGATTTTGTCGTCGGCCCTCTCCTTTCCCCTGCCTGCGTCAAAGAAGTCAAACAAAGGCAGCTTCTCGGTGAATTGCACCGCAAATTCTGCCAGACCAAGACCTGCCGGGCCGCTATTTCGGAAGCTTGTCATTAGTCCTGGGCGACTTGAGAAGTTGCAGAACACGCGGGTAATGATCTTCGCCGTTACGGGGATCGTCCCGTTCTGGTTCAGAATAAATTTGGTCACTTCGTTGCGAACCCGCGTTGCGGCCATGGCACCTGGGCCGGAGCCGTCGAAATTGTTGGACGCGGACACTGTTCCCGAAGGACAGTCGTTGTGGGAGATGTCAGAAGCCCACTAGTTTTGGGGTGTCAGCGGCCCGTAGCATCCCTTCTTGCAACGGAACTTACATTGTATGCATCACCATCGACCAGTACGACGACAAACGGCTGAGCAGGTAGAGGAGCATGATTGTTGAGAGCTACTGTCGGAGTCGAGGGATGGTCGACACTCGTAGTACACTTGAGATACTCCAAGTCCAGCTGCGTATCGACCAATTTCTCCTCCAGGATTCGAGCATGCTTGGTCATAGCCTTTAGTGATGCAGTCTCGGTGTTGAGCCGGGCTTGGAGCTGTGAATTTGATGCAGTCTGGGTGTTCAACCGGGCTTGGAGCTGTGAATTTGATGCAGTCTGGGTGTTCAACCGGGCTTGGAGCTGTGAATTTGATGCAGTCT